TTAAAGAATAAAGTAATTGGGCTTATATTACGTTTCCTAAGTTTAAAATAATGTTTGTCAGTTTCTTGCATCAAACTGGTTTCTTATTTGGTATAATGACGGAGACGGATTTGGTCTGAGGTACTTTCCCAATCACAAGAAAACTAAAAACAGTATAAAGCTGTAACTGTTGCCACGAGACCTTTGAAGGAAAGCTTCACTTAGGAAAACAAACAGTCAAGGCATTAGATATGCTGAACAGCACCATTTTAGGAAGAGACTTTGAAGGCAAACATTTTATCTCAACAAACTCGACATGAGCAGCTTGAGTGAGTCCTCCTGTTATCCACAACGTGGCCCCATAATAGCGCGGATGTATAATGTGTCACCTTAGACACATTTGAAGTTCCCCTCGAGTTAAATATATCGGCTTTACTCACTGAAACTCAAACTATGACTAATGTTAGACCACTTCTTATGACATCCACCTCTGCCACCGCGCCGTCACGCTTTTACTTCCTTTCTTTCCTCGCCAGGAGGAAGGTTGTCTGGATATTAAAAAGCTTTTGTTTATCACATTGTGCGCGTTGCTTAGTGAGTGTGCGGTCTGTTTCCTTTATATCAGAAATGCCAAGGCCTACCGTGTAGCTCAGAGAGGACAATAAAAAATACATATCAAGTCTCCAGATAGAAACAAGGTGAAAGGTCAGAATACAACTACATTAGAAATGGGTCATGGGATGATAATAAAAGAGAATTGTGGGATGGTTATAAGCAACGATAAACACACAATAGAAAGGAAATGGGAATAGTGCTATAAGATAAGAGCACTTCCTGCTGTGTTCTCTGATAGTTGGCTTCAACATCTCAGAACCAAGTTTCAGTTATTGTTGCGCCTGGACACGTTCTACCACGTCATGTCTACCCCAGCACTTTTTACCAAATTAAAAAAGAAAAAGCATTATTCCAACGGTCTGGCAGCAAAAGAAATGTCTGCGAGCTCCGTCTACCTGCTGCCACACCCTGAACCACACTGTGCCGACAGGTGGGGCCGACGCAGCCGCCCTAAATCCCTGCTCTTATGTATTCAAAGCAGCTCTGATCCAGGAAAGGGTTCGGCTGTTTACTTTTCAACCTTTACAGTCAAATCTCGTCCTATCAGGCAGACTGACGAAAAAAAAGGAGCTGTTCAAGTGTTGCAAGGAGAGGGGCATGTGCAGCAGGAATAAAGACGCATGCAAGGCACAAATAATACAACATCGGTTACAAGTAACAAACTAATTAAATAATTAATCTCTTGACACAAATATATTGAGTTTAATATCATAGATCATAAGGAAAACCAGCAAATGTTTATTTGTGAATTTATCACATTTTCATTAAAGAAAATAGTTTAAATTGATTATCGGAAAAGAAGCAGATACGTTTGCTGTTGAATTGTTTCAGGAAATACACATGTGTATATTGTAAACACTCCCTACTCTAGTCTGCCTGGGTGGAGCGTTAAAGAAGGATGTAGAGAACAAGTCCTGCCAGTGACAGGGATGAGCCGGTTCCTCCCACCCCCCCCCCCCCCCAAGCGCACGCCAAGTTATGTACATCTCGCTTTTACTGTTCTCAATTATTTACCAGTCAAATAGTGCTGCAGGGAGAATGGGTGGTATTGTGGCCCAGCAGCTTGAGGGGGGGGGGGGGGGGGGGGG